TTCTCGCAAATAGATTTTGCGGATGCATATTTGCAGGTTCAAGTGGATGAAGGTTCGAGAGAACTACTGACTATAAATACCCATAGAGGTTTGTATCGGTATAACAGACTACCGTTTGGAGTAAAATCGGCGCCTGGAATTTTCCAGCAGATCATGGATACGATGCTAGCAGGGTTAAAAGGCACCGTTGCCTACTTGGATGATGTCATAGTGGTAGGTCAAACAGAGAAGGAGCATGATGACAATTTGAGGAAGTGCCACCAAGTGTTTACTGTCTTAGAAGCAGATTCAAAAAAGGAGTGATTCTAGCTAGCTTTGCAACATAAGGGTCAATGCTGCAGTGGTAAACAATTCGCGTTCGAACATGAAGACAAGGAGTCCGATTATGCGTACTGGTCGCCCGCAGTCTGTTTGCTCATGAACTCGACAGTCTGATAATGCTTGGCATTTTAAACCACTGATTGAAGGAAATTTCGTTTTGCGATCAAAAACGCTGCAAACCGATTATAATCTTTAGCTGTGCTGAATTAATAAACGAAGACGCAGTATCACTGCTTGTTCGCATAAGACGATGCAAAACAGGTCAAAGCAAATGAAAGAGGCGCCAACTGGACAGTTCAAGAACCAAGAGCTGTCCGAGGTATTTCAAGCACGCAGCTTTAGCAGACGGAGGGATCGATTTTGAGTTATTCCTATTGTCGAAACTGAGTGTTTTTGTTACTGTTTTATGGCACCATCAAGGGCCAGAAATTATGACAACAATGAATTCAGAATACTGGAAAGGATTAGCCGCATGGAAAGTCCGGATATAATCTGGGCAGACTTCGTCCCGACTTGCTCGGCAGACTTCGTCCCGACTTGCTCGGTTAAAAATCACGCGGATTATACTGCGATTTCCTGCCCGCCAAGTAAATGTTTGGTTTCATCGGTGTGATGTGTTCGTGACGAATTACGCACAACAGTAAAGCAGCTAGCAGGGCAATTCTCGCCAAATTTCGCGTGTTATTTTCATGCGTTTTTTGCAGCTATGCAATGCAGAAAACGCTATTAACGAGAGACTGTCTGTGTGTTTGTGTGTCTGTGTGTTCTTCTGTACTGATTTTTCATCTCGAGACCTACAAAAGCCACAGGGCTGAAACTCTGAGGACTTAGTCTACATGCATGTACGGACCACCATCCCCGGAATGGGCAACCATACCGCGTGGTACCCGCGTATGGGCCAGCAAAAGTTTTTTGCGGGTAAGTAGCTAATTCCGGGAATCAGAAGAGCTAGAAAGCTGGAATTTTAAGTGGACGTTCCATGTCCACGTAAGTCTTAATGAGCTTCAAACCAGTCTCTGGGCACTAGTGGCACCTATGTACGCACCCGTGAAATTCTTTTTCGAGTAAGTTATTAACTCGGGAACCTGAAAAGCTAGAGGATTGGAATTTTAAGGAGATATTCTCCATCCAAGTACGTGTTAATGAGCTCAAACCTCGACCCCGGTGTGCGTAGTACCCACATACGGGCCCATGGAAGTTTTTTCAGGTGAATTGCTAACTCAGGAACCAGGGTAGCTAGAAAGCTGAAGTTTTAAAGAGAGTTTTTCCTGGCAGTTCTGGCGGCCAGTCGTAATTTGTTTGACTGAAAGCCTTTGCCGGAAAAACCAGTGCAGATAACGACAAAAACCGCGAGGAACTATGCAAAAAAAGCATCTTCACACGGGCAGCTCGTGCGTTGGCCAATTTTTACA